GGGGGTGGGTTTTTTCCGCGGGGGGAGGTACGAGCGGTGGTGTGTGGTAGTCATCGTCATGCCGTGTGCCTGTGCTCTCCCCCGCCACCCCGTGTGTTGCGTGTGACCGGTTCGGGTACTAAACCGCCCAGAAATACAAGAATTGTTTTGTAAGATAGCTGGAACGTTATCAACTTTTGCAAAAAACATACGTTAAACTGGACACTTTCTAGTAGTCTTATCTGCCGAACGGTGATAAACGGCCAGTGAATAGTTATTGTTTTGCGTCTGCGGTGTGCTGTAGCTCCTTCTAGCGTACCAGAGACATGGAGGAGTTAAACTTGGACTGGCTGCGCTCCGCGGCTCAAGCGCTGGCGGGATCTGAGGCTAGTACAAAGGGCAGTAAACGCATGATGGCAAAAATGATGGAGTGCTGAAAAACGAATGGCAAAAGGGCTTTGTTTCGTGTTGTACTCTTAATCGAGTCTCGGTCACCTTACCGCGGTGACCCTGAGGTATCGTTAGATCTTGAATCGCACGAGTGCTCTGGGACTGTGGGGACCTGGGTGATCGGGTGCAGCTCTTCAGAAGAGTAGCTGTTCCTTCTTTCGGGCAAGCCGGAACAGTTCTTTTCTGCTAACAGAACTGAATCGTTGCTCTGAAAAAGGAGGTGACATAAAAGGATGCTCTTGCCCAGCTCCCTTGTTTTACACGTGAGAGTCAGGGGCTGGTTTTTGTTGCCTGGTTGATGATGAAAATTCGTTTTAATATTTCTTATTTTATTATTTTAGAGTAATTCATCTCTGGAGAGCAACTTGGAGGGTCTAGCTGGTGTTTTGGAAGCTGATCTGCCAAATTACAAAAGCAAGATACTAAGAATACTATGTACTGTGTACGTATGCAGGGGTCTGGGAATGTGGGAGGTGCTTTTTTCTCTGCGTGTAAGTTTCAGTGTTTAAGGTAGTTTAAATGCCAAGAACAGCTTTAGTTCCCGGGTGTTATTATACAGTAGAGTTTGTTTTACTACAGACAAAAGAAATAGAGGGAAAAAAAGCTTATGAGGTAGCAGATGTAATCGAAGGAAGTACTTCTTTGCATGATTTTGATTTGAAATGTGTACAGAGGCTCAAAGCAGATAGAATAAACCTTAGAGCTGCTCTTCAGTAGCAGTGAGAGCGTGGTGGTGCTGGGCAATATCCTGTTTCCCAATGAAATGCATAAGAACACCAAAGCTATTGCTGCTAACACTTATTTAGTGTTATCTGTGCTATTTTCCTTGCCTGTGCCTCTTCTCTGGCAGTGAGATGCTCCTGCCTTTATGAGCCCATTGGCTCAGGGAGGGGAGCTGGGAACACGAAGAGCTGAAAGCAGACTCTCTGGTGGATGACAGTGCAGGAGCAGAGGTACCCTTTGTCAGGGTCACTGGGTCATGTCTGAGGGAGGAATTGTGCAGGTAGTAGGGAAGAGAGGTGTGAAGGAGTGGTGCGGTGAAGAGGGGAGAGTGTTCCAGTCTTAGTCTGTGCTATGGTTTTGCACATTCTTTAAGTCTATTTTGTAGCAATGTTTGTTAATATAACACAAGTAGTATGGGGTTTTTCTTGTTACATTAAAACACTCCTGAAATTTTAGGACTAGCCTACATGCATTTAGAAATGGTAGTGGGCTGTTAATTCTTTACAGCAGGACCTGGCGTTCCGTACGCTGTGCTTAAGATCAGTAACTTTGGCTTGAGAAACTTGGAATCAAAATTAGTAGTCTCGAATGTGTACACCTTTTGTGTAAAATTTGCTGATGCTGTATAGTAAGTATATTTCTAAATTGCAAACTTAAAACGACTTTTTACATCCTTGCGTAAGTTCTGTCACTTATTATTTGGTCAACCCTCTGAAATACTCAGCAATTAAGTGTGAATGAAAAGCAGATGCTTTAAATGTACTTGAAAGTGTTACCTGCCACTTCTAAATTACTGTAGTTAGCAAAAAAGATTGTCTGTAAAATATTAACCACGGGGTAGAACTCTAAGATCACACTAGCAATTTTTTCTTACTTCCTCATGAAACAAGTTTACCGTAAAATACACAGATTTGAAGATGCCAAATAATGTGATGAATAAACAGCTAACACCGTGTTTCTCTTTCCGTGTCAGCGCACGTCTGTTACCAGAAAAGCTTACTGTTTACACGACACTGGTTGGGTTGCTGAATGCAAGGAACTACAATTTTGGTGGAGAGTTTGTAGAAGCCATGATTCGTCAGCTTAAAGAATGTCTGAAAGTCAATATGTACAACCAAGCTGTGCATTTAGTAAGTGGTTTTTTGTTTGTTTGATTGGTTGACATTTTTGTTTCTTTCTCTCTCTTATTTCTTTAACCACTTCTTTCATCTTTTTGTTGTGGAAGAGCTGGGCCCGTCAGTATGTATTACAGCCCTTTTTGGCATCAACTTGCAATGCACTGTAGATATACCAAGAGGAAATGTGTGTTATGTGAGCAGTATTTGTTTCCTCAGGGGAGAGAAATCACGTTACAGTTGCAGAATTGACTTTCAACGGTGTATTTTCCCAATGATGAATTAAATTTGTAGTAAACTGACTGTTCTACAGTCAAATGTGAAAGACAGACGAAAGTCATGCACTTCTGTTGTGCTCAGAGGTGTATGATCCTCTGGCTCCCTGGGGGTTGGGGGAAATAAAATAGTAAAAAAAGAAAAAAAAGAACAGTCTGGTTCTTAAAAGCTATTTTTGATGGCTCTTATCAGGCCTATGTTTTCAATCTGCTAAGGAGGGATGGAGATCAAGCAGGCAGTTTTAAGTGCTGTCTGCCTTTGAAACCATTTGTGCAGCTCTTGCTGCTTATAGATTTTGTCTGTGAAAGGGTATTAAGGCTTCAGAGGTGTCTGATTTAGAAGCCCAATGCCAACCTCTCCAGCTTCTTTTGAAGCCCACTGGTGAAAATTAAGATTGTAGCATTTCAATGGATTTTGTCAAGAGAATGCTGTTCAGCTGTGGGACACTTTACTACTAACAAAATCCTCAGTAGGACTCTGAGTGTGCTGTCCCTTCTCTTTAGTTTCACCTTTGGTCACGCTTATATACACATAACTTGTGAGAGTAATGGCTAAAGGGAGTGGCAGTGGAAATCTTTCCTCAGCTTTGTCAGAGACTTTTCAAAGACTGTTAACAGCAATGAACATCTAGAGTTTTTTGCTCTTCTCTACTACAGTTGCTCTTTGAGTAGTGAGCTGTCTGCTTAGCCCAAATTGCTTTCCCAAGACTTCTTCCCAATGATCTGCCTTCAGATCAAAATGCCTTTGTTGTTTTTTTGGATTAATTTTGGTGAATATGCCCTTAAAGAAAAGAGCCTCTAAGAAAAAATATGCAAGATTTTAATTGCTGAAATTTCAGCCTATATTGTCTATTAAGGTTGAGGCGATACTGGGAAAGCTGGGGTCCTACTAGGGCCTTGCTTAAGTCTGAAGGCAGAATAAAAATCGAAAGCGAGGGGAGAGGCAAAAAAGAAAAATAAAAGGGCACTGCTTTTCCCCAGGTGTTTTCTACTTAAATTCCCATTTCTGTCAGTCTCCATTTCTTACTAAATCAAGGATATATTCCTGTCGTGGAGATTTTTTTTCTTCCCAGGCAAATAAAGCCATTTGATTCCCAGCATGCCATCAGTCTGTCACATTTCTGAAACCTGAAAAAGCCAGCAGTTTTTAGATAAGCTCTCTGTATAAAGAAGTATTTATGAATAAATAATTGCAGAAATTAATCATCTGTAATTGCATATGAATTTGGCACCACTGCTTCTTGGTGCACATCTGGACTCAACGAAGCAATGGATCAATCCATCTTCAGCTTTTTAGAAGTTTTTTCCTCCCACATCTGTACTTTAGTGTAGATAGAAGCACTGCGTTTTTTTCTGTATTATCAGTTTGGATGTCTTTGAATCGATACTGGTGTTTCCCACCCTTCCTTAATTAGAAATATTATCCTTGCAATGTTAATGCAGGGAAACAGACTACAGAAACTATAATGAATGATATGTTAGGCAGCACTTGTGACGCTTTTTTTCCATGGTTGAAAAGTGGGTCTGTACCCACAGTGTGCAGTATTTCTGCCTTTGTAGTGCTGAATGAATATCATGCTTATACTGATGGTTTGTTTTAGTTGTTAAAGTAATGCTTATTTGTTCTTGTGCAGTCAGTTAAAAAAGTGTTCATTTAAACCATTTTTTGTTGTTCTTTTTAGGTTCGTTTTCTATCTGATCTTGTGAACTGTCATGTAATAGCTGCACCTTCAATGGTAGCTATGTTTGAGAACTTTGTGAGTGTGACACAGGAGGAAGATGTACCCCAAGTAAGCCAAAGATCTGTAGACTTTTGTAGTGCTGTTTTCACCATTTTTCTATGCTGTTACTCCTGCATTTATGCTTAGAACAGGGAAGCTTTAGAGAGAGCAAACTAAATGGACTGTCATGTGTGGTTTCCTTAGTGTGAGTAAAAGTAGCCTGTGGCAGTTAGAAAAAAACATGCATACACCAAGAACATGCCATCTTTTTATAGTGAGGTAGCTTTTACTTTACTTTGGCAAGTGTATAGTGCCTGGTTTGTCCTGCTGTATCAATAATCTGCAGAAGGACTGTGAAAGTGATACTGTTTTTTAAGCAAGAAATTTTTTAAGTCTGCTTGTCACGGTTCAAGTTAAAAATGATATATTTCAAGCAAGAAATTTTTTTTCATGGCTTGTCAGTCTAGTCTTTAACTGCTCGTATTTACATCCTCCAAAATAATAATTTTGCTGATGTTATAATTTTAAGTTAAAATAGGGTGTATGTTCAAAAACTTCAGGAACTTTCTTGTCTACTTAGATTTCAGTATATTTCTTCCCTGTAGGTACGATGTGACTGGTACATATTTGCATTTCTGTCATCTTTGCCGTGGGTTGGAAAGGAGTTATATGAGAAAAAGGATGCTGAAATGGATCGTCTCTTGTCTCAGACTGAAAGCTATTTGAAGTAAGTTGTAATCCATTCAAAATAGTCTTAGTGGTATCTATTCAATTATGGATTAATAGGTTTGATTATTGCTTGCTTTAAAGTATTCTAAAGTCTTAGGACTGAACCATCCTGGGGGTGGGGAGAAAACCCTGAAAATAGAATAGGTGGAGACAGTTTTGAAAAGTTCTATTGACTTGTCTAGTTCTAGGGTATGTTGAAGGTCTTGTTCTGCTCATGCTGGAGCAGCTGCACTTGTAAGTGTGCTGTGAATACTGATAGGTTGTTGCATCAGTGCTCTGCAGTGTGACTGCTTTCTGTCTAGATGCTTCAGTTTAACATGGTTGTCAAGATACGATAATAGAGATATTTTAAGTAATCACAAGCCTGGTTTTTATATACTGTAGTCTTCATTAGCTGAAGAGATCAAATAGTAGTACACTTGTAGTAAGGGAAAAAAAAAATTGCTGCCCTAAATTAGTCTTCTGAAAGTCAGGTTTTCTTTCCTGTGTAAACAGACGCCGGCAGAAGATTCATGTACCCATGCTGCAAGTCTGGACTGCTGATAAGCCACATCCACAAGAGGAGGTGAGTGGACTTTACATTCTTTCAGGAAATTTGGAGGTTTTTGTTAAGGTGTTCTTTTATCATGAAATTAAAAAGAAGTCCTACATGAGAAATTGTCTTTTAACTTTTGGGTCTAAATATAAGGTTGTGTGGGGTGAGTATTTTGTTATTTGTTGAAAGACCCTTAAGGAAATTTTATGACGTGAGGAATGGTTGTAGATTGTACTGTTTGTTTTGGAACTGTAGATACAGGGCTTCATGTTGAAAGGACCTTTGTGAGAAGCAAAATGTAATTCCTTACTTATCCCTCAGTGTTCTCCCTCTGCAAGAAGGAAAGCTTTGTAGTGACTTAGGTTTCTCAGCTATGGGAAGTGCTAAACAAATACATAGAAACTGTGTGCATCAGTCATTGTGCCATTGTTCACAAGTGAACCAAAAATACTGGAGGGGAGAGATGGCATATGGCTGGTTTGGGGTGGAATTTGCCTTTTGAGATATTCCTGGGGTTTTTTTCTTTCCCCTAAGTTTGAGGACAAACTTAGTTGCAAAGTGAGATCTAAACTGATGTGGAAGTTTTGGAACATGGCCCTTTTTACTGTTCTGATTAAATCGCAGTCTTAACAATTGTCTTGTTAATCATGATTTGGGGAGATAGGCTGTCTGATTTTACTGGTTTGTCAGCGTGAGTATTCTGCCTGCCCAATATCTGAATTTCCTTATTTGATTGAGTAGAGGAGAGATTAGCAGAGTGCATTTGAGACCATGTGTTACCCAGAGTACCTCAAGCATGACTGTTCACTTCAGGTGCCAGTTGTGACTAGTTTTTTTCCCATCTTATAGAGCAATAATTTCAGTAAATGCAAAGCATTTCTTGTGTCAGTTATAACTTGAAATTTGTGTTCAGTAAGGCCACAGGCTTCCAGAGTTCTTGGGACTGCTTTTAGCAAGAGAGTAACTGGCCAGTTTTCACAGGTGTCTGTGCCATCTCTGGGTGAATGCTGGGACTCAGAATTGTGTTGAAAACCATGGCAAATATATTTCATATTTGATAGTATTATATGTGGCTTGAATATGCTGCTAGTTTTCATTGCTCTGGGAAAAGCATGGTAGTCCTGTTATCTTTCCAATGTAAACGCTGGTATTATGTCTGTATGAATACCACCAATGAGCAGTGACTGAAGTAGCGTTCACTGGTGCAGTTTCACTGACAGAGGGCCATCATGCTAGGACTCCTGGGTGCTTGGTGTTCAAAAACCTGCCAGTGGTTGTGTGGAACTAGGACCAGCTTTAGTGTTTAGAGTTCTTAAACTGTTCTTGGTTTACTGAATCAGCAGTTTAAGACTTGAGTTTTTTTCTGCATAGAATACTACATTTAAGAAACAGGTTTCTGATAGTTCAGGGAGCTGCCAGCTTTGTTACGAGATTCGGCACATCTGATGTTTCTCACCTTTCTCCTTCAGTATTTAGACTGCCTTTGGTCTCAAATCCAGAAGTTGAAAAAAGACCGCTGGCAAGAACGACACATTCTGAGGCCCTATTTGGCTTTTGACAGTATTCTTTGTGAAGCGCTGCAGCACAATCTGCCTCCGTTCACTCCTCCGCCTCACACCGAAGATTCAGTGTACCCCATGCCAAGGGTTATTTTTAGAATGTTTGACTACACGGATGACCCTGAGGTATGTGATTGCTGTGGGTTCCTGAGTAGATCCCACAGTCAAGTTCCTAGGCTAATATTGGTCAAAATGTGATGTCCTGTCTCCCAGGATAGTGAGTTCTTTGAATACAGGCAGCTGTTCTGCTTTAGTATCTCTGCAGAAGTGAACTAAGAAACCAAGTTACTGTACAAAGTAAATCTGTGAGGAGCAGAATTTAGGGAATGAGGTTTTGATGCTTTCATTTAGAATGACAATGTTGATTGAATTGTCTAATGTCTTTAGTAAAACTACTGAGTGAGACTTTCCTTCCATACAAGTTTGTGACTTTTCCAGGCTACGTGTTTATTGTAATGTTTAAAGATTATTGTTTACTTGTCTGTTAAAATTTGTTGATGCATATTGTGGAACGAAGGAGGGCTTAACTGGGGTGGGTGAAAGATCCATCTATCTTGACAGGCTGTCTCCAGCATTGGTCAGCAGCAGATACATAGACAGAAGTGTACAGGAATAGGAAAAGAATATATGCTGCTTCCCCAAGTGCTTTTATACCTCCCTTTACTTTAAGTTTGTTGCCTTTTACTTTCATTTATTTGCCTCTGGGTTTTTTTTTTTCGATGAACAACACCATGACTGTTTATTCTTTCCACTCTATCCTGGCTGTTCCTGGCTTTATTTCTTCCTCATGCTCCAGCTCAACTGTGATTTTTGTTTTTTTCAGGCTGCATTGTGGTAGCCTTCCTGATGGCTCCAGAGAGCAAAGGAAAAAGGGGGTGGTTCCTCAAAACTCGCTACCTAAATT